AAAGCCTAGTGCTTTCTCGTTCTCCTGTCCGTTACTCTCTTCAGATTAACCGAGAGGCAGTGCAGCAGGCGGAGAAGTTCAGGTAATTCGGAACTGTATTTACTAATGATGGAAAATTGGAGGAAGAGATCGACCGGCAAATTGGAGTAGCCAGCGGCGTTCCGCGTGAACTAGCCCGACCCACTGTGACTAAAGCAGAGCTTGGTCTGAAAACTAAGCTCTCGGTATTCAAGTCGATCTTTGTCCATATACTTACCTACGGTCATGAATCCTGGACCATTACTGAAAAACTTCGCACCCGGGTACGAGCTGCTGAAATGGGCTTTCTTAGACGAGTCGCTGGCCTTACGCGTCTCGACATGGTCCGGAATACTGACATCCGGAACAGCCTTTGCTTCTCCAGACTGAGAAGTCACAGCTGCGATGGTTGGCCATGTGTTGCGAATGCCTCCAAAAAGAAAGACTAAGCAACTTTTCTTGCCAAACCGACCCAGGGGACGACCAAGATTAACCTGGTGCAAATATATGGAAGGTGTCTTTTCCAGACTCCAATTGTCTTCTGCCGAAGCTCAAACTCTGGCACAGAATCGGGAATGTTCTGTCTTCACAGGAAAGCTCTGTCGGGAAAGCTGTCTTTACGACCGGAAAGGAGAAGCGGCGGTGGAAAGTGAAGGAGAAAATGAATCTGCTGGTGTGTGCAGAAAAACAAAATACAATTAAAATAGAAACAGCGGCGCAGCAGATGGTCGTTCTACATCGCACTTCAGCACCGAGGTTTTCGAATCATACTAACTGCCTATCCCCTTGAGTAAGGAATTTGCTCTACCGTGCTTCTGTGCAGCCAACCGAAAAGAATCACCTATCTGAGAACAATACGGACGCGCCTTGTAGAATGGTCACGATAGCGCATGCAAGATTTAGGAAAATGTTGCCCGATACGTGCAATTAGAGCTTTCGTCCGTCTTGACCCCCATGACAACTGACTAAATCAGCATAAGGTATAGACCGTCAGTAAACATAAAATTAAAA